CCCCCGTGAGACACTGGCTATTTCTGAAACGCTTGCATAGGGGTCAAACTTAGTCTGAGTGGAATTTCAGCGGAGAGTTTAGGCTCCATGTCCAATCCTCTGTGCTAATCAACTAAAAGTGTTTCCCCTTCCTTGGCAGTTTCCTGACCTTTTTGACAGTAATTGCATCAAGGCTTTTCATCCATGGTGGCCTTTGAAGAAGACGTGGGGACACTGAAAGGGGACGTGCCTTACTCAAGCTCATGCTAGGTAGATACTAGAAATCAAGTCTCCTCACTCACTGGCTTGTGCTACTAGACCAGGCTGATAAATAGTGATGTGAAACTTCTAAACCTTGGCTGATGATGCAGGATACCACTAAATATTGAGGTCTAAACCATCAACAGGAAATCTGTTGAGCAAGAACTAACCAAACAACCACCCCAATCTCACTGCCAACCACTCTCCCCAGCTTTACTGTCTAGGTGTAATGCCCAGAGCTCCCATCAGCCCCCCATCTGCTCCATCCTTCCACAGGATTCTGAGATTACTCCTGGTTTACAAGGGAGCAGGGAGAGATACTGAATAAGTGGAGCTGGACCAGAACAGAGCATTTTCATACAACTGTGACCCCCAAACATGATTTTCCTTTCCTTCTCTTCCCCCATCCACCCCTTATTCCCCCCACTCCAGAGAGCGGCTAAACATATTTGTGATGTTGGAAGTGATCCAGTACAAAGTAATGCTCAAGTTGCATATGTCAGTCTGAGCTTTGAACTCAGCTTTTGCAATGTGGTTCAGACTCACAGCAGCTGAAGAGAGGGTGCAGTGGGAAACAAAGGCTAGCCTACCATTCTAATGAAAGAGTAAAAAGGATCAAAAGCATATCATCTTCACACAAACTATTTCTGGGACACATCTTCAATAGATACAAATGAGAGACAACCCACATCAGTATACTTAACTGAAAGGCATCCATTTCCAAACAGGAAGACAAACAGATGGATCACTCATGCAGCCATGATAACAATGCAACAAAAAGATATTCTACTACTTTCCTACCTATTTTTGTTAAATGGCCTTCCCCTCCTGACATCTCCAGGAGAACTGAGACCATTAATAAAATAAATAAATAAATAAACCCTGAAGACAGGAACCCCAAAAGAAAAAGTGAAGAGACTGCCTGAAGTCTTCATTATGAATTGACTAATAATTTCAGATTTGGATAGACCATTAACACTTTCTTTCATGCCTTATGGCTATTTGCTAGGAAACTATGATACAGAAACTGCCAGAAAAAAATGAGCAGAGCCAAGAACATGACAGAAACATGCAGGAAGATTTTTTTTTTCTCACTCTCAGACATACCTGGCTTACTGCATTTTTGTGGCATCACTAAACCATCTAAATGCCTACAGCTACCTTGACAAGACATGCCAAGCTAGAACCATGTCTTTTCAAACAACCTTCAGACTTGATGCGTTAATTTCAGAAGGCCCAGCTACAAAAAAGATATCCTCATCATAAAACTGCACAACTCCTCTGACATCTCCACCTGCTTGAACTACTTCAAGCACTGCCCCAGTGGTTCCACCCCTGTCTTAGAGCTCCCCTAATTACTGGGGTCAATTTGGGAGAGAACCAGAGTAAGGTCTCCCACAACAGCCTGCTCCACTCTAGCAGCAAGGGGAGATGAGCTCATTTTCAACACTAAGAACCTGCGTTATCTAGGTGATAGCTAAGAACAGCCACCTGTCTTCCCCTCCCCTCCTTTTTAGGTTTTTTGGAGCTATGTCTAGTTTTAAGACAACTCTCTAGTTCCACTACAACATTCTCCTAAGTTGTGAGGCACAACTTATTCATCAGTGACCTGGAGGAAGGGACAGAGTGCACCCTCAGCAAACTGGGAGGAGTGACTGATACGCCAGAAGGCTGTGCTGCCATTCAGAGGGACCTGGACAGGCTGGAGAGCTGGGCGGAGAGGAACCTCCTGAAGTTCCACAAAGGCAAGTGCAGGGTCCTGCACCTGGGGAGGAATAACCCCATGCACCAGGACAGGCTGGGGGCTGACCTGCTGGAAAGCAGCTCTGCAGAGAAGGACCTGGGAGTCCTGGTGGACAACAAGTTGACCATGAGGCAGCAATGTGCCCTTGGGGCCAAGAAGGCCAATGGTATCCTGGGCTGCATTAGGCAGAGTGTTGCCAGCAGGTCGAGGGAGGTGATCCTGCCCCTCTACTCAGCCCTGGTGAGGCCTCACCTGGAGTCCTGTGTCCAGTGCTGGGCTCCCCAGTACAAGAGAGACATGGCCCTACTGGAGCAAGTCCAGCAAAGGGCCACAAAGATGATTAGGGGACTGGAGCATCTCTCGTATGAGGAGAGGCTGAGAGCTTGGATTTTTCAGCCTCAAGAAAAGGGGGAGGGGGAGAAATATTATCAATGTTTATAAATAATTGATGGGAGAGAGTAAAGAAGACAGCCAGACTCTTCTCAGTGGTATCCAGTGAAAGACCAAGAGATAATGGGCACAAATTGAAATACAGGAAGTTCCATTCAAACAAGAAAATTTTTACTGTAATGGTAGTCAACCACTGGAACAGATTGTCCAGAGCAGTTGTGGAGTCTCCATCCTTGGAGATGCTCACAACCTGACTCGACACAGCCCTGAGTAACCTGCTCTAGTCGACCCTGCTTTGAGCAAGGGTGTTGGACTAAGCCATTTCCAGAGGTCCCTTCCAACCTCAACTGTTCTATGGAGTCAGTGAGTCTTGTTGCATACCATCCTAACTGAGTATTTTCCCTATACTCCTAGAAGAGGATAAGGTTGACACTGAACCTAATTGGAACACACCTTGGTTGAAAGATATCATCTGCCCGGATTTATATACCTCATATCAGCCACTTAAACTATACCTCCCTTTGGGAAGTTACAACAGCTTTGGGTTTCTCCTCTGATTGAAGAGATTGAATTTGCAATTGCCTCTGTGTTAACAGAAGAGACATCCCCAACACTGCTGTCATTAGGAAATGGCAGAATTTCATTGCCTTCTTTGCATGGATGGGAGCTTGGGTCTAAAAGCTTTTGACTGCTGTAAACTGCAATCTGGTAATGCTGTCACACCTGAGGAGTCAAATGGGTCATAGCACAAATATTCAGCTCATGCTCTTCCTTGCTGCACAGAGCTGCAGCTTATCTACTCTGCCTGAAGAAGTCTGATACTGGAGTGTTTTTGTACTCTGACATTCTCTCACTTTGGGCATCCAGACTGCAGGTCCAGAACATCTAAGCCCCCTAGTTTTCAGTCCACCCATGACTTTGCAGGATTGGAAACAGGTCCTTCCAAAAGCTAAAGGAGACCAGCTGTTCTCCCAGGGACCACTGGATATGAGACATCAAGATACAGGATTCTCCCCCACCCATTTTCCTTGAAGGGAAAGATACAAGGCTATGACTTCAGTAGATAAAAGTCTGCTGGTATCAACTTTCAGTCTGCCTTCTCCTGTATGTTAAGTTCTTCCAGAGCAGCAGTCCCAATTGCATCCAGAAAGCCATCTTCCTTCAGCAAAGCCCAGTAGCTCCCTTTGTGCAGCAGCAGCACACAGCAGTGACCTGGTGGTTGGGCATTAACCAGAAAACAAGAGTTGAAAGAAAGAGGGAAAGGGAGAGTTGAAAGAACTGTGTTAGGGAAGAAAAAAAGAAAAGAAAAGAAAAGAAAAGAAAAGAAAA